AGATATATTTTTTTGGTATAGGTCAATTATTTTATTGAAGGTCTAAAGCGAGTAAAAAAACCAGTCTTTTAAAGAAAATCATGATAAACATACTCATCAAAATGGCGGCGTCAGTGGTGCTACGTCGCGCGCGAAACACTTCAAATTGAAATTTTCTTTTTACAATATTTTGGACTAGATTATATTTACAGTAAACATAATGTTATTAGGATATTTGAGGTCAAAATAGCAAATAAGTGAATGGAAGCAGGCTACAAATAGTGAAATTGACACATGAATGGAAAATCGAAAATGGTTGTTTGGATTTTAATTATTTCGAAGGAGAAACTGCGTTAGATATGCATCGAACCTGGAATGCTGTGTAGTCTGTACGTGCTGAGATGAATGTCAGAATGTTCCATCTGAAATTGATGATGAAACGCTTATTTCAACTCAAGAATTTGTCGAAAATAACGAAAAACTTATTATTTAAAAACTAAATAAAAAAGAAATTAATATACTTGTATTGCTCTTAATATTTTTGTAAAATAAAAATAAGATAATTATCCTATACCTACAATAAATTATCCAATAACTTTTTTATTTTTCGAGACCGCTAGGTCAATTATTATTATTAGGTTAATTTTACGATTTAAAAAATTTATTTAATTTACTTTGGTATAACTTTCAAGTCAATTTTAGCCATTTATAAACCCAAAAATTGAATATTTAAATTTTACTAATTTCTTGCAAAAACCTTACTCCGACTACAAAACCAAACAAAATGATCTTTTGAACATGTGTACCTACTGTTATCATATATATGGATTAAAAAAAATCATAATAATGTTTTTTGTAAATATAATCTAATCCAAGATATTGTAAAAAGAAAATTTAAATTTAAAGTGTTATCATAATTTTCTTTAAGACTTTTTTTTACTCGCTTTAGACCTTCACAAAATTATTGACCTATATCAGGAGTCGGCAAACCGCGGCTCGCGAGCCACATGCGGCTCTTCGAGTTCCTCTAAAAATTAAAAGTTAAAGCATACAGACAAGCAACACACGAGTACACATAAAGACCCCTATAAACTTCCGTATCCGATTTAAATTTGAAATAAAATGTAAAAGCAGAAACAAAAATTCGTGGCTCTTTGAAATTCATGAAATTGATATTTCTATTGCAGATGGCTCTTCCGGCTTAAAAGTTTGCCGACCCCTGACCTATACCATAAGAATATATCTTAAAGTAGAAATCTGCCGATGCTTTTTTTAGAATTAAAATCTGTTCAGTAGTTTTTAAGAAAAAAATCCGAAAGTTTGTCGATTTCGTCACTTATTTTCACATTAAATTGTAAATATCTCGGAAACGAAGCATTTTTCGAATTTTTGTCAAAGAACAAATAGTTTATTTTGATCAATTTTAAAATAAATATATACTGGGCGAGTAATTTTTTTTACAACTTTTTTGTTTATAACAATTGACTGACCACGCCGAAAAATATAAAAAATATATGTAAATTATCAGAAAAATACACTATAAAATAAAAAAGTTTCATGCTGCAGGTTTTTGTTTTAAAAATTTAGTCGATTCATGCCTTTTCTTTAGGGGTGAACCGATCGCCTATAAGGGAGACGACTGCAATAATAATAGAAGAAACATTTGTATAAGAATGTTACAGATCTGAGTAAATTTCACCCAAACTGATATTGTAGTTATAGTTTGGAGAAATTACCAATTGGTTAAAAAAATCAATACCTTTGATCCATGGGCGTATAGTGGAAAAATTTGGGTAAATATATTGTCAACTAGAAGTGTTTTAGAGAGAGGAAGAGTAATATTCAAAATTTATATAATCACCCTGTAACTATAGTCAAAACTTTGAAAGATAAATATGTATGTACATATGGCATTACTTTATTTGGACATATCTCTTTAGTAGATTTTTACAAAAAAACCTTCGGTACAAATATTCATTTAACTGATTTCATAGAACAAAATTTATAAATATAATTGAAATCAATTACATGTCAGTTTGACACAATAGATTTAAAAGCAACAAAAAGTGCCCAGTTACATTTGGATACTTTTCATTAATAATTTGTATTGCATATCGTTATGAAACATTACCGATTCTATAACATTTCGCGAGATAAATTCGTTGCTCCAGAGATTATTAATAAAAAATATTTCAGTGGGTAGTTAATAAAAATAAATACCTATGTTGAGTTTGACACTGATAGGGAAATATCCATGGTAATTATATAGTATTGTATGAAAGACAGTTAAAAATTGAGAGTATTTTTATTTGCAAAATGTGATTCTTCTTCTTCGTTGACTAAACCCTGTTTTTTAAAAAAAATTAAATGTACTTTGCTTAGGGAACATTTCACATATTGAAATTTTTTGGACGCTCTATATGTTTTATTACATATTTGGTTACTGCCCATGGCTGCCATGGCATAAGCAAAACTTTTTATCAAAAATAATTTTTTTCTCGAAAAATCAAGAATAAAAAAGGTTACAATAGTGCGGTACTCCATCCGTGGACACACTGTAGAATTCGCGATGTAAACTCAATTTTTATTGTTTCTATCACTTCTACGACCATAAAAATTCAAATGTTTACAATTTGTTAAAATTGTAAAAACCGATGATTAAAAAAAAATGAAACAGCATATTTTCCAAATAACATTATTTTTTTTTATCCACATGATTTCTAGAAAACTTTCATTACTACTTTTTGAGGCACTAATATAGTTGCTTAAAATACTTGTACGCATTCAAGGTTCACCCTGTATAGATGATGAGGTTGTTGTAACAACTGTAATATCTTTCAAAAAATTTAATTAATATCAGCTTTTGATGTATCCTATTTATACCCAGGAGCATCATTTGCAACCATGAAAGGTGAAAGATAAATAAAATAAAATCCTTAATGCCCATATTCCCACCTGTTTGATGAGGTGCCTTTTGAAGTAGACCTGCCACAAATCATTACGTGATTCTGTGAATGCCGTTCGACAAGACGTGAGCGTTGAATTTGGCTGATTTAATAAATACTGTTTTTATTAAAAACGTTTTCCTGGTTTGCGTGAGGCACGTGTGCAAGCCTACTACCGCCTTTTTAAAAAGGGATGCCTCAAAGAGTGGACTTCAAAATTAGCTGTGACACTCTGCTTTGTAGAGAAGATGCAATAAAAATGGCGACACTTTTAATCCGAGTAAAACAAAGTAGGTATCAATGTAGTCATGGATACTTTGTCAAACATTAATCGCCATATTGCTAATTGAGTTCATTTGTGATTGTTTGTGGTTCAATTTGCTGAAAACTCTATAAAAATGGAATCTAATGAAGATTTAGGTGTACCTGAGGAGACACTGGAGTGTGCGAAACAGGTTTTTTTTTAATCTTTTCCCAAAGAAATCTCGAGAAATTTATGAATGTGTCTAATAAGGTTTCATGGATTGGCGCAAAGAAAAAACATTAAGTTGTATTCTCAAACTTAGAAAATAAAATAAAGGAGACAAAATGAGGGATATGTACCGAAAAAATCGCGAGTAGTTACAAAAGAGGAAGTTGATTGCTTTTTGGATAGTGTACCTGATAATTTATATTTGCTGAGGAAGGTAAAACGCTTTAAAAATAAAAGAGCAACATTTCTAAAAACTTTATAGGTCGTCCTAATATTGGGCGCTGCAGGCGCATGCCGTTCTAACGAATTAGTCAGTTTAAAAATCGATAATGCTGAAGATGTGAAATTCGCCTCAATTATAAAAATTCACAATACCAAAACCAAGAGACCATGTTCTTTTACTGCGCTGGGAGACAATTATTTAAGTTTTTATCGAAAATATGTTGCTTTACGTCCACCCGGATTGTTAGAACGTCGATTATTTCGCAGATATGTTAGTGGAAAGTGTCGAATGGTGGTCGGTATTAACAAAATCGGTACCGTCTCGCAAAAAGTGGTGATGGGGTTGCTCCATTCGCTACGCTCCTTTCGCAATATTCCCCACTCACAAAATAAAATGTTACTTTTAATACTTTTATTATAAATAACTATGTAAACATACTGTATGTAAGCCACCAAGAATGATAAAATACTTATCGAAGTTGTCAGACGAACCTGCTGACCTTATTAATTTTTTTTATTTTAGCGTTCCATGCTTTCATCTGTCAAAATTTGTTATATTGAAATATAGGTGTGTATATGGGTTGGTTACAGCTGACAACAAAGAGCTATAGGCTATGTGGTTTTGTTATTTTTATTTTTCACACATGTTCAATTTCAACTGATTTTTCAAGTATTCTTCAATGTAACAAGTTTAAGACAGTAAATAGCGACACATGTGGGTAAATGTAATCAAAATTTAAACAACAGATTAGATTAGACTTTGCTTCTTTTTTAATTAATACTGAAAGACTGGGATACCGATTCGAGGTTATTTATATTACAAAAAAGCAAATTGCTATACAACTGTATTAAAAAAAAACACAAATAAAAAAAAATGACATGTCATTATCATTAAGTTTAATTTCTGAATTATTGGTTAATGCTAGTTATTATCGCAAGAGTTGATTGCGATGAGCCTGTCGGTATAGACAATCCTTTTTCCAATTAAGAGTATTGTGTATTCAAGAGATGCTGACATAATCGACATCAGAAGGTTGAAATTATACATGTCGCTTCATAGGCGTCGATTTGGGAGGATATTTTATTATTTCATTAGAAACTACGACATTTTAGAAGCAAAAAATAAACCTGAAATAGTACTAGCTGCATTTGTCGTTTAGTAATTCTGATACTTATTAATAAAAATCGGAAATATGCAGTATCGACAAATTCCAATTAAAATTTAAATTGCATTTTGCAAGTTTTAATTAAATTTTACACCTCACGGTAGTTCAAGTTAATGCTAGTTTTAGAAATGTTTCACTTGTTTCAGCTACAAAATAAATTTAGTTCGCTTTTCTGATTAAAATTCAAATTCATTCACTGTCACTTTTCTGTTTCAGATGCAGAAAATTATGACGCCGAGCAAGGTGAGTGCTTTTTTCCTTTTCGGTTTCAATTTATGTTTCAGTAACAGCATGTCTGAAATTATACAACTGTGACATGATTTGCTTATTTCAGTAAATTGCTATCTGTAAAAAAATCAAAGGCTTACGCCAGAATGTCAAATAAAGGGTTATTTTTCGGCAACTGTTTTAGCTTAGCCAGCAATTTCAGACTGAAGTAAATCCTTTTTAAGGAATCATAGAAACCAGAAGCATCGATATTCATTTTGTTTTGCTCATAAATGTCCTGTTGAGAAATTATGTGAATATTAAGAAAAATAGTATTGAAATAGTGAAATGTGAAATGGATTTTATATTTTATATTTACGAAGTTTGTACCGAAAATAATTTTATTTTTTTAAATCCTTTCTTTAAGTTTTACTCGAAAATCAGTTTGTTTTCGAAAAACATAAGAATAGTAGTAATTTGTAGAAAATTGAAAGCAGTGGTGTATTATTTTATTTAAAAAAGTATGACACCGAAATTATTTCACTTAAGTACTAGTTTTTAAATCATTTAAAAAAAATAAAAATATTTTTTTAAGTTTAACACCCTGTATCTTTTTAACAAAGCGTCCTAGACATAAACTTTATATGAAAGACCCCTTAAAATTCACCAAAGAATTTGAGGTTTCATTTTTGGTCACCATTTATGAATCATCTTGCTGCAGTTCCATTATATGCGTTATTATTAGGGGCCGGCCTTTTCCAGAAGGTGATTTTAATCCAGTCGAAAATCCTTCCAGAACTGCCTGTCGTTTGCTTTGGATATTGCCATCGTGCCATACTTTTGTCACCACATGACTTTCATTTATCATCATCCGCAACAGAAAACAATTTCATGTCGTCGGTAAAAAGTAGACAGTTCGCATTAATATTAGCAATGTCATTAATAAATAAATTAAAGAGCAAGGGGCCCAACACGAAACCTTGCGGAACACCAGTATTTGCATCAAATTTAGCAGACTTGAAACCACGGTACTCCACATAAAAATTCCTATCGTTAAGATATGAAGCTAGCAGATCAATTAAATTGTTAAATACAGGGTGTTCCATCTAAGAGGGATTCTTCTGTAACTCCGTAACTATAAAATTTAGATAAAAAAAAATGGTTTTAGGAAAAGTTGTCTGGAATCATGTGGATGGCCCACAGAGCCAGAAAATATTTGTAGCTTTACGGGGTGTTAACCAAGGAATTGAAAAATGCAATAATATACAGGGTGTTCCATTTAAAATAACAATGAACACCCTATAAAGCTAAGAATATTTTCTTTATATGGCGCACATGATTCCAGGCAACTTTTATTAAAACCATTTTTAAATAAATTTTACAGTTGCAGAGTTACAGAAGAATCTCTCTTAGGTGGAACACTGCATGTCCGAAATATCATCCACATACTACAAACATACTGAGGATTCTAACCGGCTTAATCATCCCGCGCTTACAAGAACAACACCGACTGGAAAAGCTCTCCAAGGAATGCGCTGTACAAACAACTTCGTCGATAATAAATTACAACCGGTTGTTTTCCTTACATTTTTGCAATCCCCCTACACAATAGCCCGATTTATTATGATTTCCCAAGGAATTCTTGAGAAATATGAGCAGTTCTTCCGATCTCCGGATTTATAATCCGCGGCGTGCATCTCGTTAGCGCTGAACAAACAAACGCTCTGACAAAAGACTACACACACACTCACGCGGGTGAAGGGTGTTTTGGGCCACCGCTTGCGCCTTGTCACCGTCCAGACCTAAAATAACACTTCACCGTTAAATTCGATACTCCGCTAAGTGTGTTTGAAATGGCTAAAGGTGTTTCGTGTCCTGGCCCCGCAACAGGGCGGCTTCTCGCCTAATAGGACGGGTTCGGCGGGACAATTAGGGGAAGGCATTGTGCCGGGACGTCTAGACGACAGTTATCGGATTTACGTGCTCGCATGTAGGACTAAATTAGAAAAGTTTGAAGGTATCCGGTATTACAAAGAGAAAAGTTCGGTTTCCGGGGAAAAAAGGCCCTTCCTGAGCAGGTTATACAGGGTGATTCACAATTTATCAATTCGCGAGTTTCAGTTGAACCGTGGCATTGCTACCAGACTAGCACCTGAGCTCATTCTTTGTCTGAACGTTGAACTACTGTCAACCGTAAAGCGTTAAGTGTACCGGATTAGTCACTATAATTTGACAACTTATTGTGAGTTTTTAATAGGTACAAAAGTTTTAGCTTTTCTTATGAATTTTTATAATACACTATCAGAAAAAATAATTGAATAAAGGAAATCACAAAATTAAAGAATCTTTTTAATGGAACACCCTTTATATTAGTGCATACTTAGCTTCGTTAAATTTTCCTCTTTTCAAAAATATACAGGGTGTCCCTGAAAAGGATGGTTGTCCATCCATCCTTGACCACAGGTTCCTTGGATGAAAACAAGACTATTTAGCCTAACTTACCTATAACAAAAGTGCACGCTTACTGAGATATAGCCTTCTAAATATAGAATAGATAACCTAGTTTTTTTCAAATAATTTGAAAACTGTTTTTCTTAGAAACTTCAAATTTGGTACACATTTTTTTTATACAGGGTGTCTTATCTGCCAACCCTGAACAGGCCGATTCTATGATCAAAACTAAGTAAAAAAGTTCATATGAACATGGGTCCGGAAATGCTTCCTAAGGGCACAGGGACCCATTGAAGAGGGAGGAATGGAAATCATTTTTTTGCAATATCTCTCAATCGCGTTGTGATAAATGAATGAAATTTGGTATACACAGCTAAATTTTGATGAGCAATTTGATGGACTAATCCATTTATTTCCACAAGGTCCATTGGGGTGGGTACGGGGGGGCCCTTGGTACTTTGCGTGTGTAACTTTTTCATCTTTGACTTTTTAACAAATTGGACAGCAAATTCCGTTTTCCCGAACTGTTTTACGTTAAAAAGGTACTCTTGTTTCAAATCGTTATCTTTAACGGTTTCTGAGAAAATCGCTCTTGAATTAATCCCACTTTGGTCAATTTCATAGTAATTTAAACAAAATTATCAAGGTATTCTTATGTCAAAGTATTGTCAACCCGATTGCCAATTTAATAGTTCTAAGCGAAAAAAATGGAAGAGTTTACGGGACAAGAGTTAGTTGATATGATATTTATTTATGGCTTTTGCGATGGTAATGCTGCAGCGGCAGAACGCGAGTACGGGAGAAGGTTTCCAAACCGAAGGCTGCCATCAAGGAGGACATTCCCTACGGTATTCCGCAACTTAGCTGCAACCGCCACTTTTCGAAAGGCACCGGGTCAAGGACGTCCCAGGATTAATAGGGAAGCGGAGGTCCTTGACGCTATTGAACAAGATCCTACGACTAGCATACGGAACATTTCAAGGCAAATAAATGTTCCTCGGCCAACGGTACTACATATCTTAAAGATTTCCTTAACAGAATTGATTAGATGTGCTACTAACATTTCAGGTTGGAAGAATATTAAAGCGACAAGGTCTACATGCCTATCACTATCGACGTGTACATGGCTTGATACCAGAAGATTTTGCGCCACGTATGCAATTTTGTCGCTGGATTTTGTCGCTGGACAACGAGCAAGCTTCCAAAATTTTGTGGTGTGACGAAGCTACTTTTACCCGAAATGGAAAATTAAATTTTCATAATTCTCATTATTGGGAAGAAGAGAACCCACATGTTGTTCGGAGAACAAACTTCCAGCAACGGTTTTCCATAAATTTATGGGCGGGAATAATTCACGACACTCTGATTGGACCTATTGAAATTCCACAACGTCTCAATTCAAATCTTTATTTAAACTTACTTCAAGAAAATCTTCCCCAAATTCTCGATGATCTGCCTCTAAATTTACGACGTAACATGTTTTTTCAACACGATGGAGCCCCGGCACATAGTGGTCGCAATGTTCTAAATTTCCTAAACGAAAATTTCGCTGGACGGTGGATAGGGAGGCACGGACCGGTAGCTTGGCCGCCGCGTTCTCCCGACCTAACCCCGCTGGACTTCTTTTTCTGGGGATATCTAAATCAAAAAGTTTACGCCACCGAAGTCGATACCCGTGAGGAATTGCTGCAGCGTATCAATGATGCAGCCAATGAAATTCGTCAAAACCGTTTTAGCATCTTAATAGCTTCGAGAAGTGTTACACGTAGGGCAAGACTTTGTATCAGAGAAGGTGGAGGGTTTTTTGAACAGTTTTTAAAATAGCTTGTTGTCTGTTATCAAAATTAAGTTTCCATCTTATGATCCCTTCGAAAAGTGACGGTTGCAGCTAAATTGCGGAATACAGTGAGGAATGTCCTCCTTGATGTCAGCCTTCTGTTTGGAAACCTTCTGCCGTACTCGCGTTCTGCCGCGCAGCATTACCATCGCAAAAGCCATAAACAAATCATCATATCATAATTGTTCTACATCAATAATGTGTATTACTGATTACGTATTAAATTATTATTATTATTTTTTGTTTAAATTACTATGAAATTGACCAAAGTGGGATTAATTCAAGAGCGATTTTCTCAGAAACCGTTAAAGATAACGATTTGAAACAAGAGTACCTTTTTAACGTAAAACAGTTCGGGAAAACGGAATTTGCTGTCCAATTTGTTAAAAAGTCAAAGATGAAAAAGTTACACACGCAAAGTACCAAGGGCCCCCCCGTACCCACCCCAATGGACCTTGTGGAAATAAATGGATTAGTCCATCAAATTGCTCATCAAAATTTAGCTGTGTATACCAAATTTCATTCATTTATCACAACGCGATTGAGAGATATTGCAAAAAAATGATTTCCATTCCTCCCTCTTCAATGGGTCCCTGTGCCCTTAGGAAGCATTTCCGGACCCATGTTCATATGAACTTTTTTACTTAGTTTTGATCATAGAATCGGCCTGTTCAGGGTTGGCAGTTAATTATGAGACACCCTGTATAAGGGCAATGTAAATATAGAATTTGGTTTTCTAGTGCCTGTG